AAAAAAAAAAAAAAAAAACAGAGGGAAAAAGAGGATTCGACACAATCGAATTTGACGATAAGATGTACGTCTATATTCCGGCGAGGTTGAGAATAACGTCCTACACTTGTACGCTACGTCAATTTCGATGTCAATGTTATCCTTCGTCGCTCATGTATATATAAAGTAACGTATTTAGCCGTAAACTGTATATTTTATACTGAAAATTGATAAAACAATAGGATTAAGCGCAGTCATACACGATTAATAGCGACGAAACCAAAGAATTCGCACGCGATTTGCGTTTCCGACGAAAAAAAGTGTGCTGGTAAAAACCAAACAAAAGAAAAAAACCAAAACGGAAGGAAAGACGCAAAAGGAACATTTTTCTTTCTTTCATTCGAATACGACATATCCATCGAGTTTACTTCTTCATCCTTCCACGATAACGTACTCGACTTTTCTAACGCTCTAGTACTTGTAGTCCAGTTCGCGACTTTGCAGATCACGTTCTGCGATCACGCACGCTACTTCGCATTCACGAATCGATACGGCATACGAGAGAAAATACAAACACACACTTTTTTTATATACATATAGCTGTCGAAGTAAAGGGATATGTAACGGTAGCTATTACATTTATTCCATAAAACTGTATTAAGAGAGAATGTAGCGCGATATCTTAAGGAGATATAAACAGAACGCGAGAGACGAAGAATTAGTCAGAATACAGATGAAAAAAAGCTGTAGCTTGAAACGAATCGGCCGACAATCTACATTATTAATTTCGCAATTTCCTGATCGATATCGAACCGGGACAACTGCATTTCGGTTCTTGCATTACATGCAAACGCGAATCGTCGTTCTTGTACGCTCATCTACCTTGAAAGGTGATAATAGTCTTCACAAAATATATAAATATATACACAAACACACACACACACACATATATACAATATATAAAAATATAACTATACATTATACATAACACGCACTATTTTTGCGTAAGGGCGTGATAAAAGTATTTAGCAGATACGACTGTGTTATTTGTACGATTAATCTCATTCGCGTGGCACGCGATGTCCTTCCGCATTCGTTTTTCATGAATAATAATGATTTGTTTTTACGATACGCGCCACAACTATAGTCAAAAAGTCAGTTTTACCAGACATGCTTTTATTACTTTTAAATTCTTTACCACACACACAACACGTACACACACACACAAACACATGTATCTTGATATAATCTCCGATTCGAATATGTTTTCGCCGATAAATTGTTTTAGAAACGCAAGATTGTGTATTTGATGGCAATATTATTGAGAATAAACGGTAATTTTTTTTTAAGTTTTTATATTTTGCAGATATTCTTTTATTAATATTTTGCAAAATGTGTGGTTTGCAAAATGTATTTAATTCTTTTCTTTACATAACGAGAAAATATCAAAATATAAAATATTATACGAAACAAAAATGTTGAAAAACGATATATTAAGATTAATCAGGGTCTTTACTTATGTAATGACCGTTACATGTATAATGGAAGTACATTTTTAACAATTATGTACAAACATGTATAAATGTTTTAATGAGGTATCTTTTGTACTCAACTTTGTTTTATACAAGAAAAAATGGTCTCTCAGAGTTTGATTTATAAAAATGTTCACATAATTTTCTCGTATTATTTTGTTTAAATGTGAAATAATTAAAAGGTTCAGTTTTTACTTACTTATTTGAAAATTCTAAAGTAAAATGTACAAATTAAGATACAAACTAAATATATCACACACTTTATAAAACTTTATAAAACTATAAAGGTGCAGAAAGTGTCATCATAGTAACTTTAACTTCATCATAAAGTTCCTTGTAACTTTCATGTTCTTTTATCATCACCATAAGACTGCCACGTTTTACACCCATTGCTGCACCAAGATCCAGTCTGGATGGAATGAAACAATAAGGAATGTTTTTGTCTTCACATACTATCGGTAAGTGGCACATGATGTCTATAGGATGTACGTCTCCAGCAAAGACAACTAACCTTCAATGTGAAAAATTCATATATTACACATCATACAATTTTCAATCTCTAAGAAATAATTCAAGCTTACCCTGTTTCACCTTTCCGCAGATGCTTCTGAACGTCTTTTAAACCATTGCGTAAGTACGTTTTGTGCTTGGACGCTGTCATATAAATACACGTTTTCATAATTAGACATTTATATTTTTCCTTCCCAAGTTATATACGAGTAACACAAATATAATCATATATTTTGTATAAGAAAAAAAAGAGATTTTATTAAACACCGAATGTAGAACCACCTTACCTTTCTTTATACACTTGGTAATTTTTTTTGCTAACTTTTTGGGTGCCATCGGTTTAGCGATAACACTCACAAACCGTAGTTTTTCTTCGTAAGTCATTTCATTAGATTCGTCCTTAACAATGCTTACGTCAACGTCCATTTTTTCTGACTCCGACATTTTCAATAAATATTTTCTATTTCACGATGTATCAGCACGTGTTAACAAGCAAACCCGCAAACCTGCGTTCGCTCACGTTTTTCTTCTCTGATTTCTACTAATCTAACCTAACCTAACCTAACCTAACCCTACCAACGATATTAAGCTGGAAACACACAAAAAACAAAAGCAGTAAAATTAAGCATTAACGCCCGTTTTCACCATCTCTGATTAACTTAAGCGGCGATTAAGTATCAGTCGTAATTGGTCTAGTCTGCTAAACGATTAATGCGACTGGCAATTTCAATGGAATAATCGGCCGATTACTCCTACAGCCTTAAGGCCATTGCACGTAGCAAAAATTTAGACGTAGTCGCAAGGTCGTAAGCAAATCGACCAATCGCTGACCAGCATTCCAACTAATGTAAGATAATACTGGTCTGTAATTGGTTAAATTGCTTACGACCTTACGGTTACGGCTAAAATTTTTTCACGTGTAATGGCCCTTACTACCTTCATTGTAGACTAGTCATTATGCGTTAAGGTATCTTTTCATACAGCAGAACGCTGCGGCAGCAAAACGTCACGTGACTCAAATTTTCTAGGACTGCTTCCGTTAGGTATAGTTGCTGCTCTTACCTAACCCTCATTTGATGTCATTCTTTGTTGTTGATGGAATTATATAGTTATTGCATAAGTATCAACAATAAAATTTTTCTGGTTTTGCTGCTTTTTGTTTGTTTGAACTTCGCAGATAATGAGAACATCGAGTAAGGGTTAGGCTTGCTTCGTAGGGTTAAGTAAGAGCAGTAAATATACCTAGCGGAAGCAGTCCTAGAAAATTTGAGTCACGTGACGATTTGCAAAGACGTCAGACGTAATTACGCATGCGTAAGTGACGTTGGACCACGTGACAAACTTTGGTAAATTAGAGCAAAGTGCAAATCAGTGCAAATGGTGCAACTCCTAGGAACACAGAGTAGACATCGTAGAATTGTTTACATTTATAATACGTCTCTGTACGTAAGTAAAAAACTTTATAATATACAAATAAATGTGCATTATTTTACAATAATACAGTGAGCAAACATGACTACTCCTAAAGAATATGTGGTAGTTGGCAAGGCCGTAGAAATGAAGATAATATCAGAATGTAAAACCAAAGATCAGAAACGTACGACGTCTACGAATTCTGTGCAAAAAACGGAAAGAAAGAGATCTGATAACGGAAAAACTGGACATGAAAAGTGGCGTAATATTTTAGGACAACAAAATACGCTATCTATAAAAGAGGCACGGTCTCATAAAAATAAAGATAAATTACCTAAAAGTGATGTAAACAAAGATCAGCAGACAAATGTAGGTATTATACAGTTTGCATATAAATCTACTTGTGCATATATTATTTAAGTATTTTTAATATTATCTTTAATTTTTTTCTATATTTAAAATATAAGTCAATTTATCAATTTGTTTTTATTTTTGTGTTTTTTTTTTTTCAAATCTGATTTTAAACGTAATCTAAGAAAAATATGTCCTCATTTTTCAAAATATTTTCAGAAAAACATAGAAGGCTGTTCAAAACAACAGAGTTCAGAATTTATTCTTGTTCAGGATCGTGCAGTTCAATGTCCTGATATCAATAAGTTTGATGAATTTAGTTCACAAATATTTTCTTTAAAGGAAAAATCAAAAGTTAAGAAAGATCAAACTTGCAATATTGCCACTGAGAATGAAAAATTATTGCCAAAGAGATATATAGACTTTGGAAGATCACCAGAGGTATTTTATTGCAATTTACATTATTACATACATAATATTTGTGCACATTGCATAATCCTTGAAAAATATTTTCATTAATTTTATATTATTTTTAACTTGAAGTTTTTATACATTGCTATTTTTAAATTTCAATAGCTTACAGAAACTAAATTAGAAACTAGAACTCAGTCAAAGGAATATATTAGGAAAATGAAGATTACATGTGAAAAATTGGCAACAGAAAAAAAAGAACTACAAAGGTATGATATAATATGTTAATATGATAGAGAAACATTAGTTAGTTTTATTTTCTTAATGTTTTTTTTTTTTTTTTTTTTTTTTTAATATCAGAGTGACTGAAGAGAAGGATGTACAACTAAAAGAAGTTCATGAAGAAAACACAAATTTAAAGGACAATTTGAGAAAGCTCATGGAAGAATTGGAAGAGACAAAACAACTTAAGGATCAGTTAGAACAACAACTTAAAGATCAAAAGATCGTACTAAATGATAAAATACAACTTCTACAACAAAATATAATTAATACAAAATACGTAGTGGCAGAAAAAGATTATTATGTCGAATTATGTCAACATCAAGATGAAAGAATTAAGAAATATCAGAATACCATGAAGTTAGGAAAATTCTATGATACTATATATAGACATCTGTGTATCTTCAAGTTTACTGATGCTATATTTGTTATTATTGCATAATTTTGAATTGTACATTGTACTTTATATTACAGGGAATTACAAAATCACATTGTGACATCGGGAACACCACCAAGTGATAGAAGTTCGCAAACATCAGTGATCCCCACTCCGGAACGTGTGTCTTCAACTCCCAATTCGAGCTTTTCTGATGGCTCTTGGCATGATTTATCAGACATTTCTACAGTGAAACAAACCACACAAAGTAAAATTATACAAAAGGATGATGTTGCACATTTAGATGTTAGCCTACTCGATGAGGAATCGTCCCATAGTACAATCGATTCTTGTCAAAATGAAGACAAATCGGCACGTTATTTATTTAACTCTGTGAGTTAAAAAATGAGTACAAAAAATTAGAGAGATAAATCTTCATTTTATTATTAAGACAAAATAAACATAAATCAAGGACCATTACAAAAATACTAATATCTTCCACTATGTAATTTTGTTGCAAAACTGTGATAGAAGCTGAAACATTTACATTGATCAGTAAGTGAATCGTTTCGCGAGAAAAAGAGAAAGTTCTGTTTCTGCGCATTGGTCTCTTTCTCAGTCAGAATGAAACAACGTATGGAAAGAAAACAAACATATTTTTACAATGTTTATATGTATATTATTTAAATTTAACACAAATTTTAAAAAAATGAGAAATTGTAAAAACACTATTCAAAAAAGATATTTTCTGTAAATATATAAAAGTTTTATTTGTAAATATTCGTGTGTAAGAGTTTCTCTTAATTTAAGGTATTAAAATTTTACCACATATATATTGCCTCTATATTTTAAGAATTCTCATAATATGTGTGTATGTGTGAACGGATATAAACTTGCACGGAAAACAAACACAGGTCACGAATATAAATTTTACATACAAGAACAACATGTATATATAGATATATATTTTTTTATCACATATGTATATATACAGGTATAATATTTATAATATTTTGTAAGTCTTATAAGGATTAAAAGGGAACATTTTTTAATACACGTAAAACATTTATCAGAGAGCTCTGCATACTCCGAAGATGTTTAAAGTACATATTCGATTTTGTTTCTCAGTGTACTTTTTTTTTCTGCAAACAGTCGTGTTTTCTTTTGTTTAAGTAAGTTTTGATGAGATTAAAAGAAGTACCTGCTACAATAGCTATAACAATATTGCAAACGCAATGCCAATAAAAAATTTGGAAATGAAAAAGACAATCTTGCGTGTTTTAATCATTGTTTAGATGAAAAATATGATAAAAACGATGTAATTTTTAAAAATCTTTATTTATACACTTCCACTCTCTCTGTCTCGCTCTCTCTCACACACACAAGGGAATTTTTCTCGTTTTTTATCTTTTTTACATTTAACCATAATATATATATATGTATATATATATATATATATATATATACCCCTCCCCTTTCCTATTAGGACGTACCGTATTAATTTTATAAAATAGTAAATCACAAGAGTTACGACAGTCATTCAACTTTGATTATTAATTTCAGACTCTCTATTTAAAACGCTCGCTTTCTGTGTTTTGGTTTTTATGCGCACTCGTTATGTAAGATTCAATATAATATATCACGTCTTCTTTTCAGAAAACAATATGCTGCGCTCAGCAGAGAAGTCAAGTGCGTTATAGTAAGCACGCGATTAATGATTAATAAATTTAATTGATGCATTCGATTTATCCAATCCGGGTTCCTTGTGATCCATGAAGTGCTTACTAAGCGCTTTCTTCTGCTAAACGTAGCAATTGCTCATGATAGGAATATTTGTTTTAGATCATATCGTATAGATCTAAAAGTGTATTCCAATCACAGATAATAATCACTAATCATTTACTAAGCACTGACTTCTGCTGAACGTCAATGAGCGCATCCAGCCGCAGTTGCGAACAGAAAGAGTGAAGCAGTATTTTTTTTCGTCAATGAGGTTTTGGAATTAAAAATTTTAACCGATCCGTTAAACGAGGGAGACGCATAATTTCAAACAAATGACCAATGCGTCTCGCGAATTCACTTCCGAAATTTATTGAAAGAGAATATTGTCTCAATCTTTCTGTATTATTATTATTATTATTATTATTATTATTATTATTATTATTATTATTATAATATATATCATATATGTACAAACCGCTCTCCTAATGAATGCTCACTGATTGAGAGATCTAATCGATGTATACTATCGGTAGCATAAATGTCTTACCATTTAGATCTGGATTCATTTGATATGATCAGTTAGACTCTTTGCGTTCTAAATTGTTGCACATTACAATCGTACGTTGTTCCAATAGTATTTTGCGTAATTTTCATCACCGCAATGATGTACAAAAATTTAAACGCCAAGTGTGCAACTGAAAATATAAAATGATTTTTGATAAATAAATGTTAAGGCTTTTATGCTTGATTTTCTGCGTATTATATGTGTACTTTTAGATTTTTCTTTTGGATGGAATATAAGAGTGTGCACACACCAATCGAATTTTTATTAATCAGTAAGCGCTTGATGTGTTTAAACACATCACACATGCGTGACGCACTGTTTCTCATGCGGACCGACATCACGTGCGCACAGTGAAGGTGCCTTGGAGATTATCGCTCTAACTTGGTTTGGTTTTTAATATTTGACGTGTAATTCCGCATACAACGACAATATCGAAATTGCTTCTCAACATACATTTGTTTTATTTCTATTGTGATAAATAACAATAAGTAATGTGTGGTGTAGAGATGTGGGGGTGTGTGTATTATGTGCATGAAGCTCGTGATTTCTGCGCATTAAATATCATACGGAACAATGACATAAGAATGCGATGCGCATCAAGCTGTCAAAGCAGTCACATAAAGTGTGTCATATAATTATAATAGATAAACGATGACTCCGGCATATATATGTTCTTTTACACACTTTTACTGCTTCTGTACAGTGTTGCATACTGACCGATATTATGAATGCCGTACCGCATTTACTAAAGGACATCAATATTTCTGTAACATAAAAATATATATACTTTTTGTGTATCCGGATTTTCGTGCATCATGACATTTATATGTTAAATAATATTTTATGTATAATATATAAAATGCAAACACGAAGAAGAGCGTCTAACTGAAAATATCAAATAGATTCTAGATCTGGTAAATGCTAAAGCGTTGATGTAGAAAGTATATGAAAGTGATATATATATATTGAAGTGATTACCAAAGTGAAAAATTTATATAAAAAAATAACGATCCGAGTGAAACAGAAAAATTTATATCGATATTAAATCCGATCAAAATTTACTAAAGAGAAAAAAAATAGCGCAAAAGTGAGTTCTATCTTTTTTTATAAAATTATCAGGCCGGTGGCCTAGCCCGGGAGTATTTTTGGGAGTATTTTTGTTATAGTACATAAGTTACCGTTTAATTAAAATTTAATTAAATTTAATTTTAAAAAAATTGAAAAATTTAAGTAATTACTAAAAAAAAAGTATATGTTGTAACAAAGATTTAAATATTTGCTTTTTAACATGTTTTTGATATCGATTAAATGTTTTTTTATTTCTTGGAGGGATTTTTATACTGAAGTTTCTTTTTTTCTCAGCAAGAACTGTACGAACAATTAGACGGATTGTAAATTTAATTTTGCATGCTCGGTTGACGCTGAAGATCTACGAAGATCTAATTAAACAACAATATCACGCGTAAAGTCGCACAACTCTTGACAGAAGTAACTTTTGCGCCTTCGCTTGTTCAACACAAAACTTTTACGTCTCTCCTTTTTGTTTCTTAGTTTCTTTCTCTTAAAACGCGGACATTCGTTCTTTTTCGTTAAATTCGCATTCAGAGATTAACTTTCAGAGAATTTGATTGGTGACCTTTGAAATTTTCGCGATCGAATGATCACCGAACGATCAGTCCACAGAATTTTTTCGGTAAGTGCTCGATCTATAATCGATGATTGCGCGCAGACGTCGCCGAACAATTTGAGACATTTTCTTAAGAGATTTCACAATAAAACCGTTAAAAATGCAAGAGATGTTCGGCTCATTCTGAAACTCTGTGGAAAATAGTGTCTCAATTTTTCCTTGACCATTGCTAGACACGTCGGGAAAAATTACCTTTATCACGTAAAGTTGTCACTTTTAAACAACTCGGAGCAACTTTTGCGCATCACAGCTCAGATCGTACATCATAATTTAATTATCTTTTTGTTCTTGATGACATAAAAATGTAACTATTAAATTATTCTATTTTATCGGAAATTGATGTAAAGTCGTACATGATAACAGATATTTTTTCTGACGCTAAATGTGAGTACATATCCGGTCTAAAATCACTAAAATCAAATATGTACAGTAGTGTCTTGAGTCGCGCGAACGATCGACCGTTTTACTACGCGGTTCTCCGACCGAGTGACAACTGTGCGGACTCTACTGCGTATTGCAGCCGTTATTATTGTAATTTATTGTGTAGTGCGCAAGTAAACACATGTATAATCTTGAATTTATCAGAGAAATGAAGTGACAAAATTGTACGTAAAAGTTGCGTCCGCAATTAAATTTATTCATCGAACGATAAGCCGCTATTCCGTGCTGCGGTTTGAGATCTGTTACTCGTTAAGAAAAAACGCGAGATGTTGAAAACGAATATATAATTACATATTGATTAATTAAAACCGATCGCGTGTTCGATTCTATACTACTATTCCTGACACTCGTTTGCGCAGAATTTGCGTTTCACGGAAGAGAGAATTCGCAAGAAACACGAACATTTGAGGTTTCGGAACGCGAAGCTACTGAACTAGTCAAATGAAAAACCGATACGCTGAATTGTAATCGAGTATCTCAGCAAGATCTAAAAATCTTTATGCGTTATCAGATCGATGCAAAATTATATTAGGTATTGCATAATATTCTTTAGATTAACGAAACTAGACACAATACACATTTACGAGACTAGACGGTATGTTTACAAAAGTTTGTTTTTTTTATATTGCGTTTGTTTTTGAATTGAAGAGCAACACGTCTGTTTCTTTAAATTCGAGCGTTGTGACGTCACTTGGTGCTAAGCTTTAGTAGTTGCGGTTCGGATGTTCGTCGAGTCGTTTCGCATCTTACGCGCAATTTTTGCCGCGACAACAGACAATTTTCACGCACGTCTTACGCGCAAATCAGTGTCAGGTGTGCGCAATAAAGGGAGAAGTAAGCGTACAGTGTGTTTCCGAATCAATTTGCGGCTCGCAATGACGATATTTTCTCGATTTAACGTATCGGATTTTCGTGGTCCCGCATAAGTACAGCGCGAAGTTGACGGCGCAAAGTTCCAACTATGGCGTCGCGAGCGTCGCGCGTAGTAACAACGAATGTTTTGCATTTTTGTCGCGTCTTGTTTTGCGTACTGAGTAACATTCGCGCGGATCGGTGTAATAACCGAACTTTACACCGAGATCGAGTCGCGAGTGTTAATCGAGTGAATGTGTGCTTTGGAAATGTTAACGACGGAGGATGATACGAGGGGGTACAACATCGACGATGTGGAAGCGGCGCAGCGAAGGATTCGATGACAAACAGCGGCCCATCGACCGGTGAGCAAATTCAAACGGATATTCTCTTTCTCAAAAACTTCGAAAAATTGACGACTAAGGGATTTTCGTGATCACGCAAAAA